GCCAATTATTATATTGATTTTTAATATAATTCACTTACATAATATTAATCAAAATAATTATTTTGAATTTTTTAGAATTATTAGTCAAAATAATTTAAAAATAAAAAAACAATCAATTTTATTTGACCAGTAAATTTTAATCAAGAAGATCAGTTTGTTTTTCAAAAGTCATTCAGTTTAGTTGAAGATTATTACAAAATTATATCAAGCTTAAAAAAGGAAAGTATTAAAATGAGTACTAAAAATTATTAACATTTTTCATATTTTGAAATATAATGTAATTTATACTGTAATATGCATTTTGTAAAACTAAGGTACATAATTTATGTTTTCTAAATGGAGATAAATTTGATTCATATCTTTAAGATTAAACAAAAATTCTATTTTGAAACAAGATAGTTTTTCTAAATTAAATTTTTGAAAAATAATAATGCTTCATTGCAATTCTGGCTGTCTGAGACAAGATCAATAATTTAAAATCAATAATTTAAAGTATATAAGCTTTAAACTACTAGTATAGTAATATAAAGCCATAAATATTTTTGTGTTTCTTTCAATAATTATTCTATAAATCCTATAAATTTTATTTATTGGTAGCTTACTAATATAAATTTTTTTTACAGTTTTGTTATTTGATGCAGAAAAAACATTAATTTTGATTTGTTTTATATTACATAACTTAACTTTTAAAACATATGTAGAAATATTTTTTATTTTACTTATTTTCATATTTAAAAAAATTATAGAATAAATTTTTCATAATTAATATGTAAATAAAGTATATGCATAAAAGTATAATTTTGTATTTTATGTTTAGAAAAACAATTTGAATAGTAACACTATTTGAAACATTTCCAAAATGATAAATTAGCTATTAAATTAACATGTAATAAAATATTTTAAAGTTTCTGTTCCAAATAATGAACTGTATCCAAAATAATTTTTCTGAAATAACCTCTTCTGAATTGTGAAGGTGAATTGACCTCTTTTGAAGGTGTACTTGCTTCAATATCTTCTTTTTAAAAATTAAAAAGTACAAATTATGAAATTGTAATTTATTAAAAAGTAATTAATAGAATTATTTTTACTTGCATTTTGCTTTAAACTATTTAAAATTGGCATCAGTCTGTTATAATAAGGATATAAAGGTACTGTAGTGCCATTAAAGATTTAATCTGGATAGCAGAATTAATAGAAGATAAACCATCTATAAAATAATGCAAAATTTTAAAAATTAATACAAGAGATTCCGAATGAGATTTAATTTAATGATAAACTAAACATCTATGAAACATTTGAAATTTATAAAGTCTTACATTTATGTGTGCATTAAAATCATGTAAACAAGTAAACAATTACAATAATGCTTACAAAAAAGTTCAATTATTGCAATATTAATATTACATAAAACTTCTTCAGAATGAGCAGTTAATTAAAGATGAATACATTTCAAAATATAAAACTGTAAGTGTACATTATTCATTTGTACTTAAACATAAAAAATTCAAACTTATAAATAAAATTTGATAATGCTCTTTTTGCCATAAGTACAGATCTGATACCAATTCAGGCTACCAAGAGAAGTATTTGGGCCCACCTTCATATGAGTATATGAAGGTGGGCCCAAATTCATAATGATGTTATTATTATTCCAATACTTAATAAGTTTATGTGGTTAGACTAATTTTTAAAATAGACTGATGATAGACTTCTAGCTCTCTATTCTAATTTCAAAAAATTATAGTAAAAATTTTCTGGTAATGTGAGGTAACTTAAATAGATATAGACTACTGTATTAATAAAACACTAAGTAAAAATGATTATTTTTTTATAAATTAAAAAAAAAATTAACAGTTTTCAACTTTCACTGAGAAAAATTCATTTTTTGCTCAAGTCATGTGTCTATATAACAAATGACCAAAGCTAACAAATTTATTCTCAGAATCTGTAAATTAGAATGGTATTAAATAGTATATTTTGCTTTTTCAAATGCTTTAACATAATGTCATTAGTTAAGAAATGATAACAAAAAAGTAAGGACAAAATATAACCACGGGATTACTCAGCTGAATTAATTTGTCATTTAACAATGGGTCAAGTTTAAATAATGCAAATGTTTTCTACCTGGTTAACAGGCCATCTTCGGGTGAGGACAGTTGAAAATGGAAATAGTATGTTTGCATATACTGTATTTATATTATTTATCATCATTGGAATTGAAAAATTAAACATCATTTCAGAACAGTAACTGTGGACAGAATTTTCAAATCTGAATTCTTTTGAAAATACTTATGCATAAAAAATCTTACTAATTCAGATATATTAAAAAGAAACTGATATTAATTCTACAGTAAAAGCAATTTAAGTATATTTAAGAAAATATAAATATTTCAATTACCTTATAAGATAATTGATATCAACAAAAATTATGAAATAATCAATAACATAATCAATAACATCAATCAGTTTTTGATAAAAGTGATGATTATTAATTTATTATTGATAAAATAATTTGATAAAAGATTTTGAAATTTGTTTTATTTCAAATTATTGGTAAATGAAACTTTATGGCTTGATGAAGATATATAAATATATATACTTTATCAAAAGAACTTTCTATAATATTGGTATGTTTTAATAAATTTAATATTGCTTGTTTAAACAAATTTAAAGCAATTAAATTTATTTAAAATTTTTTTTGATTTTCAAGGCTGAATTTATTTATATATCTATAAATTAACCATATAAATTAAATTCAGTAGTATTATCAATTCTTATAATTCTATTGAGATAAACCAAACTGTAATCACACTAGTAAATATAATAAAATGAATCAATAAATATTATAGATTGATTTAAACTGAAATTAAAAATATTCTGTTAAATGCTAATTTAAAAGAAATAATTAAATTTGTAGATTTTGCAATTAACAATGTAATGCATAAAAAAGTATTTAATATGGTATCAGTGGACCTACTATTGAGCCAGAATTTTCTTTTGAGAGGGGTTCTTTCTCAAATTTTAATTTGCAGTGGCCATGGCTGATACTTTCACTGCCTCAATCTTTCATTTGTTGTTTTGCTACTGGCAGTACCACTGAAATTTGGAAGTCCCCTTCCAAACTTCAGTGGGAGCCTTTTTCACTGAATTTCTTTTTCACTTCTTTAGTTCTTTCCTCTTCTTCCTCTTCCAAATGCTACATTGTTTCTAACTCTATTAAATCCTCATTTGTTAGCTCTCCATTGGCATAATCCACTAATTCAGCAATGTCTTCCACTTCAACATCTAAATTAAGCACATTGGCAAGGCCTGCAATTGTTTGAATTACCATCAGTTTGTTCACGATTGTCAAACAATTTGATATTGTTCGCAAAACTTTTAATGCATTTTCTCCATATGCCTTGCATACATTTATCTGTCACTTCGTCCCAAGCTGATTTAATGTTTTTAATGCAATTTAAAATACTGTATGATTTCCAAAAATCATGAAGGGTTACTACATCATTTTCTGTTGCTGCTACAGCTTGGGAAAAAGTCATGCACAAATAAAATGCTTTGAACATACATTGAATGCTTTGCACCCTGATCCATTGGCTGTAGGACAGCAGTTGTGTTTTGAGGAAGATACACTACCTTTACGTCTTGGTGTAGATCATCAAGATGCTAGGGGCGGCTTGGAGCATTATCAAGCAGGAGAATAATTTTAAAAGGAACTGCCATTTTCAAACAATAATGCTGGATTGAGGGTATGAAGCAGTTCAAAAATTAATCTTCAAATAAAGGTTGCATCATCCATGCTTTTTTATTTACACGATAGTAAACAGGCATAATGTTTTTACTAGCATTCTTTAATGCACATGGGTTTTCAAAGCGATAGATCAGGAAAGGCTTTAACTTGAACCCTATGGCATTCCCTCCCAACAACAACATGATCCTGTCTTTAAAAGCCTTGAAACCAGGCATTGCTTTAGCTTCTTTGTGCATATAGGACCTTTCAGGCATTTTTTCCACCAAAGCCCGGTTTCATTCGCATTGAATATCTGTTCTGGGCAGTAGCTGCCTTTTTTAATTATTCCATCCAATTCGTCAACAAATTTTTCTGCTGTTTCTACATCCACATTTGCCGCCTCACCACTGATTCTCCAATTATGTGGGTTGAATCTCTGCCTAAACCATTGAAACCATCCATGGCTGTAAATGATTCTGTCTATTTTTTACCTTCAAAGTCTCAAAGATACTGCATGCCTTAGCTTGAATTATTAAAAAGTTTATCGGCATATTATTTTGCATCTGATCGTCAAACCAGATCGCCAATAATTTCTTCATCTTATGAATAAGACCTTTTCATTGCATAGTTATTATGGCTTTAAATCCTATCGATGAAATACCATTTCATCACCCCTTTCACTCTAACTTTATCCTTTAAAATCGTTGAAATTGTCGAATTTGTCAATTTCAAGTCACATGCTATTTCTTTAACCGTTTTACCAGTAGTCTTGTATGATCTTTATTTTCATTTCAAGGTCGATAGCTTTCCTTCGTTTCTTAACAATTTCTCCAGATGATGCCATACTTTTTCTTTTCGTCGACACCTGTACTATTTTGGAGTTACAAATATAAAAAAAAAAAAGTTACACACAGTGACTGCTTGTCTGAATGAAACTGACTGAAAAAGTGCACAGTAAGCCTATAGTACGCTCAGTGCGCATGTCATCATTTGCCACTGACCGACACTAAAACTGAGAAAGGGGATTCCCCGAATTGCAGGTCGAACTTTGCTTAGCAATTCATGCAGACCAATTTCAGCAATCATTTCAAAAGGTTCCTCAGTTTCTTTCAATCCACAGAAGAAAATTGGTAAAAGAAAATAAATAAATAAATGATATCTAAATGATCAAATGGTATCTGAAAAGATAGTTTACTTCCAAATATTTTTCGTATTTTAGTTTAGATTTAAATATATTTTAAATTTGTATGAAAAATTTTATTTTATTTTTCAGTTCAACACATACCAGGCATTTTATTGACTGAGCAAATTCATCTTTAACAAGAGTTATTGGAAGTTCTCCCATTCCGTGTCTCCGTTGAAAACTTGGATTCATAATAAAAGAAAACCCACCAATATCCATTTTTTAAATTCTGATATAAAATGTTCTTTTTACATTATTTTTGAATAAATTTATTAAAAACAAATTTGTAGGCTATCTGGCTTGATTTTTAATTTATTAAGAATATAAAATTTTTCATAAACTTTTGTGTAATCGAATAAAATGCATATTCATTCGTAATCATCTTGATAAATATACAAAAATGTTTTATATTGTAAATGATTGTAAATTTATGATACAAACGTTTCAAATATGCCAACTTCGATGAAAATATTTTACAAATATTTTTTATTAAAACTAAAAATGGCATATTTGAAACTGAAACTAATGCTTTCATTCAGTTTCATTGAAACTGAAATTAACATTCTTCATAAGATTTAACTTTTCATTGGAACTGTAACTGAAATTCTGCAAAAGTTAAAATTTGCCATTTAAAGATTTTAAAATAGGAAGATTTATGAAAGATTAAAAAATTTTGGAACAAATTCAACGTGACAGCTTTTATAAATCAATAATAAAACCTGAAAATCACGCGATAATTTCCTGGCTTAGAATGGTGTCAATAATATTTTTATGAGTCTAAAATAATCAGAATTATAGAATTTATGACAATTTATTTGTAACTTTATAAATCAACAAAATTAATTGTTTATGAATTTTTTTTCGATATTTTTAGAATGCTTTTTTAAAAATGGGTATTAAATAAACCAAAAAATCATATTTTTTAAACATCATATATGATATATCATTAATAGTATGAAAATGCATTAAACATTTTAAGTTGGAAAATCTAAAAAGAAATTTCCAACATTTACGTCGCCAGAGCGCGTACGTTATCGGTAATGATATCGACATGGAAATTCTGACTTGGCGTTTATGACGTTTACACTTCCCGAGCGACTGATTGGATTTCCGTAGCGGTGATGTATTCCGACAACAACGTCCGACATTGGTCAATTCAGTTGTAAGTCAGAAAAAAGCGCTCTCTTATTGGTTACAACGCCCGAGGTGACGTCAGTTGTCTATCCGGTTGGAAAAAAGCAGATTAGCAATCGTTACAACCGTCATTCTGAAAGAGGATTAAGTTGATGTCGGTGTGAATTTTATATGTCGGTGCTCCAAAAATGGTACTAGAAACGGAAACGCAGAGACTTATAAACATATCCCTGGGTAAAATAGCAACGTATCGTAACCAACGTGGTAATTCGAATTTGCATAAGAATGTTTTAGTAGCCAACGTTTTGAGACGAGTCAGGAATACCGTAGTGGATGAAATCTGCACGTACAAAGTAAGTGAGGACCAATCTATAAACGAAGAACGTGTTTTAAACGGAGATAAAGACGTTTTATTAGAGAACGGCAACATCGAAACTAGGCCTAACGACGTATTCGGTTGCTTAGCGACACACGCCAGTGATGTCAGCGAGTCACGTGGTCAGTTGGATGATGTCAGCGATCTCCCCGTTAGTAATTGCGAAAAGAAAACAGAACATTCGGATTTTAATATGGACGAAGTTAAAGAATTCGACGAGAAATGTCACGTGAGAAGTAGGTGCCTGAAAAGAAGAACGTCGGAAGATGACGAAGACGACGACATTGTTAGGGTGAAGAGGAGAAGAGACTGTTACGATGTTTCTAATGACTTGACGAACTGGAGAGTTAAAAGAACAAATTCTATCGATTGTGACAGTGATAGCGATAGTGAAAGTTACACGGATACAAACAGTGATTCCGATTCCTATACTTATTTGGATTCGCCCGAGAGTTCTATGGACGTAGAACAAATCTGTGGATTGGTATCAGTTTTCAGATCTAGTTTTCAAGGTTTAGGTTTTTTAGGAAATGCCCGGACGGAGCAAAGGAAAAATGTAAAAACCCGTCCCTATCCAACGACAAATAACGATATAAGGCAAAATTGTTTGAGAAGAGGACTCTCTCTACCCGATTTATGCGCCAAACAGGCAGTAGAAGGACTATCTTCCACGCAGTCCTTCAAAATGTGCACTCCCATTTTAGCTCTCACAGTCTGAACAAACAGAAAAAATCAGTATTTAAAATCAGGCATCGAGTTATTCCAATCGACCAGTTCCTTGATGTAAGACTAGACTGAAACTCTTGTACTTAAAAGAAGAAATCTCAGTTCTAGTCACGAGGAGTTGGAGGGCCCAAACTGTCCATTGACCATATTATGGAAAAAACAAATAATAATGTTGTTTACTGATGATAGTTTATTTTTTCTCTCGTATTCGTCTGCCGATAATGGGCAGAAATATATGTATTTAAGGCTTCCTGTGGGGAGCTTGGTTTATGGTACATTTGTTACCTTATCAATATCGGTTTAAAAAAAGGGGGAAAACGTCACATGTACAGTTTTAATCACGAATGTTTTTAAACCATTATTACTCTTGTGTGAATGAAATGTATTTTTCTGAAGCAGAATTTAAAATAAAAGCTACTTTGATGTCATTTATAGTTGTGTTTTTGTTATCGCTATCCATTCGCTTTAGAACGAAACGCTTTATTTTGGTCTCATCAAAAAATCTTATATGGGTCAAGGGCATATTCGTACGTAAAATTTGTTCTAATTTCCCTTGACCTAATCTCCGACGAACAACAAACTGATAAACGAAAAATTCTGAATCAAAATACAAACGACGAGTCTAGCTTTTTATTGACAATAGAACCTGTTTAGCCCAGACTAGACAGCTGTTGCTTTCATTGCCCATTTCCTGTATAAATTTGGGGAAAGCAGGATGTTGTTTCTCAGGTGTTAACTACGCGACCGATACCTCCCGACGGACTAGAACATAACAGATCGTGCTTTGTCAACCTTGATATGGGACAGAACCTCTTTTTGGTTAAAACGAGGACATTAACCTGTTCCGCATTTACATCTATTATTGTCTATGGCAGGTGTTTTATGAGTCAATCTGCTAGGTATACGACCTTCTGTCCTGATTAACAACAGTACCATATGTCGATGCTGAAAATTTCCACTATTTGTCACGTCACTAATGACGTCATTCGTCTGATGTAAGGACTGCGAGGATTTCCCAATCCGAGTTTCCTCCAGCAGCGGCTCTGACCTTGTAGGGAAACTGCTATCTGGGTGAAACCAAAACCTATCGCAGGGGTCACGTTTTTAACGATAATGTGACAAATTCGTAAACATTCGGCGGATATCGATAATTGCACATTATCCATTTTTTCTAGAAATATAAAAATCTACTCAAAATTTACGCTTCAAAATGGTGTACGCTATGTAAAATTTGGTTTATGAAAACCAAAGAATTGCATTTAACCGTAACAGAATCGATAATTTATTACTAAAAATATGAAATTTTAAATCTAGAAGCGGAACCTCGAGTTTTTAATGGTGCCAATTATATAAAAGCTTTTCGGAGATTTTTAGATTTTTTTTTTTAAATTTTGGAGAACTTAAAATTCAAAATAATTAGAAAAAACTTTAATAGATGACAACCAAATTCATGAATGATTTATCGTTTACATTACAGTGATGTCGCGAGAATTTCCGTGTGAACCACTCCGGGCAAACGTAACCTATACGAAATACCAACTGATGTTACATCATAACATACAATGACACGAGAATTCTAATCGTTGTTGGAACCAAAGTACCAACCTTGTTTGATACCCAACTTTCACGTCCTTGCTTTGTTTTATTGATCGAATGATAGTCTCAACAGAGCAGGAAATCAGTCATAATTAGCATAATTTTGATCTTTGTTACGATACATTCCATTTCCACTGATTATGACCGATAGCTTTACACTTCGTACAGATAATTACGTTATCTTTATTTATGTTTCACAGCATTAGGATACTAATTTTGTTTGTATCTCATCCTACATTCTGTAACAGGATATTTTAAAGTTAAGTATGTATTATTTTTATACGGCCATTTTGCTTCTGTTTAATCACAGCTTTGTTTAAGAGTAGTTAGTGTTAATTAAGAGTAATAAAAACGCTTGCATTAAATTTATGCAACCTGCTATTATTTAGAAAGGAATAACAATCGATAAAAGCTACGAAATAAATGTATTTCGTATCCGCGTCGAATACGCCAGGATATAAATAAACTTACACGTGGCATTTAAAGTGCATGAACTTTCGGTGGTATTTACCTTATTAAAATTAAGAAAATACATTTAAACTCTTTATATCAATAGTAGAAATGGATATGAATGATGATTTTTAACTTTTCATCGATTGCTAATCATCGTACAGCAGCCATTTATGCAAATTACCAAGACTACTCCATGTTGTTTTGATCGTGCAGATAAAGCTATTTTTAATTTATAAAATCGATTTTAAAAATTATTTCAGCCTTTATTACAATACTATTCGCTTATTTATATTTATATATTTTATTTTTATGGATTTAATATTGAATTTTTAAACAGAGATAGGTGATCTCAGGCCGATTACAATGAAACCCTTATCCCGTCCGAGAGTCATGAAATCAATATTTTGCACCATTTAAATAAACTTTAATTTTTATTACTTTCGTATCATAATTTTACATAAAACGTTAAATTTTGGAGGCCCCGTGTCTCGGATCCCTGTCTGGGCATAAACATTAACATGCGTTTAATAATTATATTTATTAATACAGGACATTAAAACATACTTTTAAGAATTAATTTAAAGCAAATTTTATATAATCGAAGCAAATATATGCTTCGATTATATAAAATCGAAAATTTTAAATGATGAATTGCATATAAATGAGAGCCACGTCGAGTGACTAATTATGTTTTTGCTACTGCCATTTTTTAATGATCAATGACTCTTAGTAACGTTCATAGAAATACATTGCTACATTTTCGTCAGAAATTACTCAAAGATGCGAGAAATTAATAAAAATGTAACATTATATAACACTATTTAATATATTATTTAAACACTTTTTTTTACAATTTATTATCTGATTTTTTTTCAGTATCGAATATAATTTTTTTCTTAGAAATTTATAATCAAAGATAATCAAAAAAATCTGTCGATTCTGTACGATCTGTGTACGTTTGAGGACTGTCTATAAACGTCATTCGACGGCTTACAGTTGATAACGTCACACTAGTTAATCTTATCAAAACTTAATCACTACTCCGACGTCATCAATGTCGTATTCCGTGCGGGTTAAACTAAAATATCAATCGACATGTTTACATTTACTACAAACGTACGTCAAGAAAATAAAAACATTACGCATTTCCTCAAAATATAAAACTATTTTCTTTTTTTATTATTTATTATTTTAAAAATTGCTTACGTTGGAAAAAGAATTTCATATTTTAAAACATAAAAAACTCGCATACAGTACCGAAATTTTAGCAATAAAAAATTCTTATTGTTCAATTTTACGAGTTTAAATTCAATTATAAAAGCAATTGTGGCTATACGTTTCGTTCCTCTTCAATGTTTACCACAGCCACGTTGCACGGTTTACATCTACCGTGTTTATGTTACGTTTTACATTGATTTAAAACGGTATCGTATGCACTTTTATCCTATTAATGAATTATAAAAAGAGGAAAAAAATCAGTTATAATGAAGTGGTTGCAAGAAAACAAAGTAAAATAAATCCAAACAGGAAGCAATTGTAAGTAAAGGGTACAGGAAGTGACCACTAGAAACCATTGTGATTGGCTTTGTTATAATTTCACAATGAATAATCATTATTATTGTAGTCTATTCTTAAAAGCTGGTACAATATTGCTCAATTAATTATAAAAAAGTAAAAGAATTGTTTTCCAAAAGCTACAAAACATCACGTGATCGTTTATAGTTACATCTGTTTAATAAATAAAAATTATTAATCATGTTTAACTTTAAAAAAATATATAAAAATTTTAATTATTAAGGTAGAAATTTTATTTAATATTCCTACATTTCAGCAATGTATTGGTTAAAGCATCCTCCTCCTCCTCTTCTTTAATTTACTTGCAATAATTATGCATTAAAAAATAACACTAGCTTCACGTTTAAAGTGTATGTTTGTTTATAAAATTTATTAAAAGATAAGAATTATCTTGACGTCAGACCTTCTTCAGTCAACTACTGTCTGATACGTTGCCATGGGAACGGTGTAGAGGAACTTATCATGAATCATGCCATGACGTCACTAGAGTAGAAAGTGAATGGACGCACAAAGAACAAATTAGGTAATGGAGAAGTACATACTAAAATTCTCACGAATACGTTTCACCGTTTAAAAATTCGTTATTGGTACGGATTTTAAACGTTCTTGAAACATCGTACCGTCTTGTTTATTACGTTTGTTTATCTCATCCTTCATTGGTTAACCGGCACAATGTTCTGGTTGAGGTCAGTGTCCGGAGAGCGGGACAACAGTTCATTTTCCTTCTCCAGGAACGACTCGGGATAGATCGACCAGGTGTGCTTAAAGTGTCTAAACGTGGAACAGGTGCCTGGATGGGTCACACCTGTCTCACACCTGGTCACCGCGCCTAACTTAAAAAAATCACCAAACAAACTAATTTTTTCGGTTTTATTTGTATATATAGATTCGAATATTTTCATCTCCCCTTCCTTTCTAGAGAATTGTTACTAAACAAGTTTTTCTTTCATATCCTGTAGAGGTCGATAACTTCATTACTGTCCGGATATGAAGTGCGACGAACGAATCAGATTATCGTAATTATTGAGACACTACTTAAATGTTGCAGTACTGCGAGTTTAATATTTAAAAAAAAAACGTCCTACATTTTCTTGTTATTATCCGTAGTCAAGGCAGTAACCTGATTTTTATTGCTGTGCTGTTATTTATAGTCGAGTTGGTGTACTTTCCTATTAGCATTTTTGAATATCTGATCTTATGTTTTATAAATTGATATTTACTGCATCAATATATGTAGAATCGATGCTGTTTTTTCCAGTGCATTTTCTAGATTACACATCTTTATACAATATAAAGATGTAATCTAGAAAATGCATAATGGAAGCATAATGCTGATGCAAGATTATTACTTTCTTAACAATAATATTACATTACTATATCTTTTTTAAAGTAGAAAATGATTTTTACGATGCAAAAATTTTGATTATACAGTATTTTAAACTTTTTTTATGTAGCATTTTTAAAACTATTATAGATACATTTAAAACTTTATAATACAAAACAGTTTTCTTAAAGTACTAGTTTTTCTACTTTATATTGTAAGACAATGATTCATACATAGTTTTAAAAAATAATATTCGCTATAAATTATTTTNATAATCATTATAAAAGAAATCATAAAAAATTAATCTTACTTTGTGGGTGGCTACATACTGCATATTTTAAAACAATATTACAATAGGTATTCAACTAGGACAATATTACAATAGGTATCTTTCCAAAGCCTTTCCAATAAGTTTAAATGTTATTCCATCAACAAATTATGAAACACAATGGACTGTTTTGCTGATACAGATATTTATTATTCTATTTGTTGTTACAAAATTCATTTTGGCTATAAATAACCCTCTTCAGTTGTAACAAATAACCATGACTTACATAAAGCTTCCTTCAGAACATTATAATAATTATGTTTAACAAAAGATTTCAGCCTGGTGGCCTACCTCCTGCCAAACTGTTTATTAATTATTTAGCTTTAATTAATAGCCACAAACAGAATCCAGCTGTTCATTTTGTAACTTATAGGTATCTGACGACATTACTAGTGACCACTTTCATTTTAATATTGCCAATTATAAAGCATTTTTTTTTAAAGTGACATTTTCAAAATTTTTGTTCTCATATGTTTGTATGTCTGAAAATAAAAGATAACCAAATTTTATTTTATCATAATTAAAGTGCTTTATAGATGGCATCAGATGGTGATATAAAGTAAACTATCCTATCATTAAATATGACAGTTTCCTATTATATTTCCTATCATTAAATATGATAGGAAACTGTAAAATCACAAAAACTGGCCAAAATTAATACCATTAGATTGTATGAGTTGCTGTTTAAGCTACTGTATATACTATCTTTGGAATAAATTTAAATTATAACTTAAGTTAAATTATGATGAATTTGATTTTCTTTTGTATGACATTCTAATAACAGTTAATTCTGTTAATTCTGCTATAAGAAATTCTATCAATTTTTTGGCATTTAATAACATTTTAGAAGCTTCATATCAGAAATACTTCAATACAGACTAATTAGGAATAATAATAATCAAATTGACTAACAATAAAATCAAATATAAATTTAATTGTTATTCAATTTATATGCATAATGCTAACATTCAAACAAAATAAACTTGTAAAATTAGAATTTATTTTTTTTCATAATATCAAAACAATAAATACTGAACAAAAAATATGCTTACCAATTGTACATAATTAATGACATTTTGTTTTAAATCTTTTAATGCTGCAACTGCATCATCTGAAATGGGAAAGGATAATCCTTGGATAGTCTGATGTTTTTCATCTATTCCAATATTGGCTCCTGACTGAAACATTAACAAATTCCTATAAAGCAATATTACTAAAATATGGATAGTCTGATGTTTTTCATCTATTCCAATATTGGCTCCTGACTGAAACATTAACAAATTCCTATAAAGCAATACTATTAAAATAAGAATATTTTAATATTTTTTGTTTTTCTCTCTTTCTGCCCAGTGGGAGCCAAGAAAGTCTTTTAATAATACCCCTCAAGGATTTGGCCAGGTCCACAATGGAGGTGGTGAAGAACAAGCCTCAACATATCTGGGACAAACCACAAAACATTTCTGGGTTTTTCATCGCTTGGATTTGATCCCAGATCTGCTGGAGTAGATTCATCCCTTTGGCCATCCTGCTGTCAATATGAAAGTTACATTATGATATAAAATTATGGTATATTTTAATTATAAAAGAAAATCAAAATATAAAAAGTTAATAGAGAGTCATAAATATTGCTATCTGCTAGAAGAGTAAAATTTTAAAATCCTATATACAAAATTAATAAACTAAATACATTTAATTTTAATATTTTGTCTCTAGCAAAATATTTTACTCTGACAGTACTCTTTTCTTTAGTGCAATAGACAGTTAATAATGTAAATGAGGTTAAATGATTTTAAATGAGATAACACATCAAAAACTTTAATTAATTTTGTATGGACAGCCTGCACTATATATAGTTATTTATCTGTTACTAAACTTTATATAATGTATAGTTTGTGGACTATCCAAAATTTTAACTTAAACATCAATCTACAGTAGAACTCCAATTATCTGAGTTAATGTGGACAAAATGATTGTGGATGGTCACAATCATTTTGGATTAAAAATTATAAATATAAAATATTTATATGGTAGCATTTCAAAGCCTCTTTATACTTTATTTAATTTAATCATAAATGATGTAAAAATACTATTCTTATGTATTATGTAGCTAATAACATACAAAAGTTTTAAGAATAAAAATATGTATTATTGTAGTTACATTTTAACATGAATGATTTATCTCAAATTAAAGTATGATGATGAAAGGTAACAGAAACCAATCATTTTGTAATGCATATTATCATTTTAAACTTTCTTTTATTAATTACAGTATAAGAAAAGTAGTGTATTCACTTATGGGTTTGCCTTGGTACACATCAGAATCAGTTCAGATAATTAGGGTTCTACTATATACCAGTTTAAAATTCCTAATATTTATATTTATGTATGTAATTTTTATCATAAATTATNTATTCATCTAGTTTTTCATCATAATAATAAGTAACCTTAAATCAAATCTATTTACAAAATTCTAAGTTAAATAGTTTTATACCACATTTAAGAATTATTAAGAGTTTTAAAGTTTTGCTGGATGGTGAAATTTTCTTTAAAAAATAAAAAGATGTAGTTGTTTCCAAAAACTTGGGCGATCATCATTTATTTCTTTTAAATATTCCATAGTAAAAACTTTTGGCCAACCTGACCTTTCTACTTTCTAAAAATAAAAAAAAAAGTCGGGCCGACCAAAAGTTTTTACTATGGAACCTTTAAAAGAAATAAATGATGATCGCTCAAGTTTTTGGAAATGACGTCGTCTTTTTATTTTTTTAAAAAAATTATTAAGAGATTACATCTGCTATACGCAGTGTAACGGTGTTGCATTTGAGATGTATATTTTAATACAGTCTCCTGTTAAAGCTTGTATTTCTAATATACAGTTTTGTATGTAGTTGATAAATAGGGGAATAAATCATCAAAATGTGAAATCATCTTAGCTTATGCATAAATTTTACAAAGTGACTATACTTTATGCTATTAACATCAGGTGAATGTAAAGAAATGTCACCAAGCTGAATGTAGTAACACAGAGAGGAGGAATATAAATGCCCATATATTACATCATTTCTCTTATATCCAGTTTATTTGCATGCAAATTCTTAAGAAATGAAAAAGTTGTGCTTGAATTTTTCAAGACAGCAAAAGTTTGTGTTTTACTTCTATTTTTCCCCATAACATTGCATAACATTTTATTGTATGATGATTTTGAGAAACACATAACCACATTTTAGGAGAATTAACTGTATTTACGTAAGCACAAACATTTTAATATGACTTTAATTGCATTTCGTTTTTGTATGCTAACATATCAAAATCATTTTTTAAAATAATATAAATTTACCTTTTCTAATATAATATAATATTTTAGAAGAGGTATCAATTGAATTGAATGCATATTTTTGTTTTTCAGTTTTTGCTCTATCTTATAGGCACTAAGAACCTTTTCTCCATATCCTTTGTTGGTTCATTTAGGCTCAACAATGTGGCCTGTTGGATGATGAGACTTGGGGCTCAATGTTTCTGGGATAGACCATCCAAAAAATTCCTGGAAACATGCATGGTTCAAACCCAAGTGCACAGAACAGTAAGGCCCTTAACTGTCTTGACCATCCAATTTCACATTAAGTTCAGTATTCAATGTGTGGGAAAACTTATTTTAATGGTCTGTACATAATAATCATCATAATCAAATGAATAAATTTAAAAATTGTGCTTACAGTACTTCTTTTTATAGCTATCAACTCTTCTTCTGCATTTGTTAATGGAGCTGGAGCCTTTTCTGCTTGAATGTGTTTATGAAATCCTTGCAAAGTAACATCTTCCTAAAATAAATCAATTTCTTATATATTATATTAAAAAGTAAAAGCTAAATATGTATTTTAAACATGAATAAAGTAAAATTAAGTGTAATAAAATACCATTTTTTGTATTTAAATTATAAACTTTAAAAGAAAATTTCTAATGTATTGATATTTAAAATACTATAGAATAATATAAGGATAATAATATCATAGGACCTATGATATTATTATCCTTATATTATTCTATAGTATTTTAAATATTATACCTTCTTATATTTAAAATTTCCACACAGTAACTTTTTCAATTACATTAGTTATTCTTTATTAAAGTAAATTAGCTTGTTGATCAAATTCAAAATGACAAATTTCCTAGAACAATTTATGTTTAATTATATAACATCTTTTTTTGATTCTCTCAGGTTAAGCTACAAAAAAGCTTTTATAAAATTGAATGTTTAACACACAAGTCTTATAGTCAAATCAGAAACTCAGATACTTGTGATTAAAAGTTTGTTACTATATTTAATACATTAAGATTTATTGATGGTTAAGAGTATAAAAATTTGCATTTCTTCTAATTCAGAATGATTCTTCAAAATGTCAAATCTGACTGAAAATCTCTTGTATAGACTGGTCAAATTCATAACAAATCTAATCTGAGAATGGTAATATAACAAACAAAACTGAAAATCTATCCAATCAGCTATAAAAATGATTTTAGTGTTTTGGATAGGAATCTAAGTAAAATATATATATAAAGCTGGAAATTATATTTTTCAATTTACATTTAAATTTATTTAATGTTCACACTAATTTCAAAAATGTTGTTACTATTAATACTACAAAATTCATTAAACAAGATTAATATAACTACATAAAATTTATTACAGATATCAAATGTATACTTACTTTTCGACTGCCAAAAAGCTCATACTTTATTTGTCCTGCTCCAAATTCCTTCTTCATTGTTGCTTTTGTTGAAGCATACAACATTTTTTCTCTTACCTAATTTCAATTTATTATTATTTTATGCATAAAATATCAAAATTATACGAATGATATTTAAAATTTACTAACTGTAGCTGTATCCGGACACCAACTTATAAACACCCATTCTTGTCCAGGAAGAACATTATTATCCAGACAATAAAATAAGTAGCATGGTTTTTGTTCATGAATTAAAGCATTTAAATACCTGTCATAATCTTATACAAGTTAAGAATTATAAACATTATTATTCAATAAAAATATTCAATTGCATACTACCATAAAGAATGAGAATCATTCAGCACATTTCACAAAACTTGGATAGACTGACATGATGAATAGTAACAATAATGATTCTGTATTAGTATTCAGTCAGATTAAAAGCAGAAAAGTGAAAGCGTAAAGGTTGCTTTCCATATTACTAAAAAATACAGTGGTACCTTGGTATACGTCTGCTTTAGAATACGTCCTGTTTGGATGAAACAAATTTTGCTCGGTATACGACTTTTGTTCGGTATACGACTTAATTCAATTATACGCGCCATCTATGAACAAGTAGCACTATCAGTGTACTAGACCAGACTAGACGTTTGCAGTGCAACGGTTTATAACTTTGTTAAATTTCTTCCAATTTTAATTTGTAAGTAAAATTTTATTATTTTTATTAATCATGAATTGCAAAAAGGCAAATGAAAAGCAACAGAAAACTAAAAAAAATGACTAGGATCACAATGGAACTGATAAAAGAAATTGTTGAGAAATATGAAGGTGGCATGCATGTTCGATATTTTAACTGTTGCATACCGTATTCCGAGAACGACGATATCGACAATTGTGAAAAATAAAGACATTATTAAATCAGATAAGGGGTTAAATCAATTTCTAAACAGAGATCGAAGACATTATCATGTTGATCATGAAGATCATGTTGAGAAATTGCTTTTGCTTTGGATAACTGAAAAACAGAGTGCTGGCGACATCCTATCAGAAGCAATTATTTGTGAGAAAGCTAAAAAGATACATGCTGATCTCATGAAAAATCAAGCAGGAACTAGCCAAAGTGAGGTGTTTAAAGCCAGCCATTTTTTTTATACATGAGAACAGATTAATCATTTTTACATTACTTCTTATGGGAAAGATTGGTTTGGTATACATCCTATTCGGTATAAGTCCAAACACCAGGAATGGATTAAGGTCGTATACCGAGGTTCCACTGTACACCAAAAATAGAAATGGAAAAATTATGTTACTTCCTATCCAGAAGTCTCCATTCATCAAAATTCAGTCAGAAACTTATAAAATACAACTTTTGTTTTGATTGGATCTTCTATCAAATTTTGACCAACAAAAAAAACAACGGTTATGACATAGTAATAGTGACATTTTATATGTCTTGTTGTATCAAGGGATAATAACAGATCATTTCAAAAAAGTAAGACAAAGCAAAGAATTAGAATTGTTTTTAGAAGAGGATAGGAAGTATTCTTTCCTTTACATTGTTTATCTATTTTATTATAAAGACAACAATCTTAATTGGAGACTTGTGTTAAGTTGACTTAATTCTGTTTGCAATATTCTGGTATTGTGGAAATAGAAGGAAACAGAATCTACTTAATTTTTCCAATTCCACTTAGTTTTCATTTCTGGTAATGTGGAAAGCAGCCTCAAGGTATTTTCTGCTCTGAAACAAATCAAAAATTAATTATATGCAAACAGATTAATAGAGATTGTCAATATATAATAAATTCTATATACAGGGTTCCTACTCAAATTTTTGTTTTGAATTTCCTGACTTTCTCTGACCAACTTTGTCCAAATTTCCTGACCTTCACATTTCTTACAGTATAGAATATCCACATAATAAAACAGCATTTTACTTACTCAAGTATATCTATCCCTCTTTTTGAACAGTTGATACATTCCAAAGACTGTGCAAAAAAGTATAGTACGAGCATCCTGTAGAAAAATGTTTGATAGGATCCATGTAATGAAATAATGAACAATTCACAAACAAAACATGAGCTTTTTTTCATTTTTCACCATTTATCATTATTATTTGTATGTAAATCTAGTGAACACAAGGAAGCATAAAATCAACAAACAGTATTCTCTAATATACAAATAGTACTGTACTGTGCTTAAAAAAGATTAACTCTTGACTTAGAAACACGTAATTTTAAAACCAATCTTTCAACAAAAAGGGCAACTCTTTTTATACAGCAACATAATTTAAACAAAGTTAAATTTAAAACTTTTCAAATATAGCATTTTTTCCAATGTAAAAAACCGATCAGGCTACCTAGTTGATATTCAAAACTATAACATACTACAGTATTACTACAGGTATGATCAATTTGACAGTTTTTAAGTCCTAAATTTGTCAAAATCAGTGATATTTGTTACCCAACCTTATGTCTTTTAAACTAATTACTAAACTATGTATAAAAGTGCAGGAAATTAATGAATTCTGTAGTCCACTATAAAAGTATAAATTTATAATATACTAGAAAGAAATTATAAATTATGTTTTGTTACACAATAAAAATTATTAAAATAAAAATGATAAATATTTGTAATTTATTGGTATTATTTATCAATTTTTGCACTTTGTTCTCATTTTTTAAAATCAATTCATTGAACCTTACTTCAAATTGAGGGTATAAACAAAAATTGTGGGGGGAATTGGTAAGGATTAAAATATTTTGAAACATTTTTAACTGATGTTACATTATCAAGAGTATTGCAGATTATTCCCTCAAATTTACGATAAAGCATTTCTAAAATCTCAAAACGTTTAAAATTTAAAAATGCTGATTGATCTGGCAGTATATTATATTAGGGAATGTTTGATCCCTGGAGTTTTGCAATAGAGTTCCTCAGTTTGCATTTTATAATAATTCTTCACATAAACAATTAATTAATGTTAAGTTTTAAAAGTGACCTGCAACTGTCAGTAAAAGTAAGCCTTTGTATTAACTGTCAAAACATTAGAACAAAATTTTTAAAAAACTGAACAATTAATTTGATGTAATTTAGTTCTGATTTTGAGTGATTTTGAAATATATTCTTACAATACAATTGAACAATAAAACTTATTATATGCATAAAATTAAAATTTATTCATTATATGTAAGGTTCAGCACTAAGCACCAAAAAAAATTTTCAATATTTTTGGAAGATGGTTTCCATGATATCAGGTAAGGAAAGCAGTTATGCACATAAGAAAGACAAAAATTTTATAAAAGACGGATTTGTACATCTAGTAGCGTCCTCTAATACTAAAAATGTATCAATAGAAAAATGGATTTTGCTATATTTGTAATAAAGGTTGCAGCATTACTTCTTGCCACCTGCAGATGGCTACACTTGGTCAGCCATACTCCTCAAACAAAATCAACAAGACAGCTAAGCAGACAAATTCCCTTACTTTTTGATAATTTTCAACAAATTTCTTGACTTTCCATGACTTTTTCTGAACACTAATGAAAATCCCCGATTTTCCAGGTGCATAGGAACCCTGATATAAGTTATGTTATCTGTTGAAGCACAGAATTACACAAAAATTAAAGCTTTGAAACATGGACTACCACTACAGATTTTTCATGGAATCTAATTTGTAACAATTATAAATATACAAAAGTACAAATAATAACTTACACAGGGATGCACAACCTTTTAGGAAGAAGGGCCAAATTAGGATTAAGTTTACTGACTGGGGGCCGGACCTCCAAGCGATTAATGCGATGGCTGAGATTGAATGCTGGAGGCAATCTTCTTGATGTCTGGTGTAATGGCAGATGTTGAAACAACCAGCAGATTTTCCAAATTCTCGTTGGTTAACCTGTTTCGTGTTTTGCACTTGTTTAAATTCATAAGCGAAAATGTTTGTTCGCATACATAGGTACTGCTAAACATGCTTGCACAAAATTGAGCATTGTCTTTCAGTTTTGGAAATGATGTATCTGGCAGTTCTTTGTAGAATGTGAGGAGATTAGAATTTTTGAACTGTGATTTCAATTCATCACTGCACTGGATGTCTATCAACTCAAGTTGGACATCTGGAGGGGCATCTTCCACTTTCACATCAAATGGAGTTGAAAAAAGTTGCAGGTAGATCTTGTATTTCTGGAATTCACCAAACCTCTCATTGAATGATGTAA